TTGCAAATGGGTGTACCTGACCACACCAAAACAGAGGGCGTAGGCACAAAACACCATAGGCCAGTGAGGATTGTCAACGGTGGATTCCAAGGTGCCCAACAGGTGGATGACCATAGATGGCTCCAAAGTCGCCGCCTGCGCCTGCCCCTGACCGAGGCGAGATCCCAAACCAGCCCGAGGTTTCACCACTTCGGAGAGGTCAAATGGCAACTTGAGGTTGCGGACGATCCATCCTAGAGCGGTATATGCCCTGGTAGGGGACTTGTGCTCCCGAATGAAGGTGGCCAGGAGGTGTTTGTCCGGGATACCTCCACCTGCGGCCGCAATGACCCCTTGAAGTTCTTGCCACGTGTGCAATGCCCGCTTCACGGTGGCGGCCTCCGCCTTCTGGAGCACATGCGTGAGCTTGGCCTCGAAGTTGGCGGTGATCTCAGCCAAGCGTGCCGCCGGCGGGGGCTCAACTGCCAGAAGAATGGCCATCAACTGAGGCAGAAAGGTCAGGGCACCGCCATCCGGGCCGCCCGACTGACGGCCCTGGGTGCTGGGCCTGACTGGCCCCGCAAACGATGGGGTAGGTCGTGGCCTCAAAGGTGGCGATGTGGTAGGCCGCGGCGCTGATTGCGAAACTTGTTCACGACGAACGATGTCTCGCACCAGGGCTCCAGCGCCCAGCTCCGCTTCACGGCGCGCCTGGTCCCAGGCCTCTGCCACTGCGCGGCCCTGCTTCAGCGCTTCCTCGTAGGTAACGAAGTAAAACGCTAAGTCGGAGGGCCTTTCGATACCATGGGCAGCGCACCACCGCTCCAGCTTCTGCTGTTCAGCAGAGCGGCGGATCTGATCATCGGCGCTTGCCATGGCGTCAGAACCGGGAAGAAAAAGTTTAGCTTGAGGTACCAGCAGCGACACTGCTCCTCAAGGGGCATCTCCCCAGTTTGGCTTGAGCATTCAAACATTGGGAGACGTTGATTCGAAGCTTCCCAAATAGTTCATCATCACCGACCCTGCCTACCTTAAATGATTGAATATAGAACCTTGTCAAAATTCTCGCGCCAAACGGCTAAAATGCTCCCGGCGAAAAGACTAATGGTGAAAAATCAAAGCGAGCGTCACGCCAGCAGCTCCAGGCGCACCACTTCCATGGCCCAACGAGCTTCCGCCTCTGGAGCGCCTTGCACGACATGGAGCTCTTTCCACAAAAGCCAGAGACTTCGGGCCAAGCCTCAGAAGCCACGTGACAAAGGTATGCGAATGTTGGAACCTGTCAGACTTGGGCTTGCATCTAGTACAGTAGCTGTCTCTTCTCACTTAACTCTGCTTGCTGCCTACTTCATTGCCACCCCCTGTGGAGAACAAAAAGACCTTCTTTTTCCACACTATGCAGTGCTGAGACCAAGTGGCATAGTATGATTCTCATACAAAGAAACATCCACAGCATCCTCAGCAAAGCAGCGTCAAAAAGATTTCAAGAAATAACATTCCAGAGAAAGAGTTTAGGCAAGAAACAAGAAGGTGGCAGCAAAGACCATCTGGATTGCAAGCGACAAAGTTTTGGTGCCCAGGAAAGTCTCAGTGGTAATCCTGCGAGGAAAGGCTGCACCTGTTAGACTGTCACTCTTGGCCTGACTGCAAGAAGTGTCCTGAAGTGGAAGCAAACAGCCGCAATACGAATGATCTTTCCTGGGCATTGCAAGTCAGTGCATAATGTAGCTCACCATCTCGCTCCTCCTTTTTCTTTCAACCAACTGCTAACATATTCCAACTGTTTCTAAGTTAGGCTCAGCCACCTGAGTTGGAGAATGTATATGAAGGTCGGTCTGTGATTTCAGTGATCCGGTCAGCCATCAACCAAGCAATCCACATGAAGTCGATGCCTGAAAGTGGAAACAAAAGTGTCGGCAGCTCTGTAAACAACCCAAGGCCTGCTGAAAACCAATATTTTTTGACACGGATTCAAACTGCGCATTCAAAAATCGTTCAATCTCGCTTGGCAAACCATGTGTTTCAGCTTCATTTCAGCAAGCTGTTCCGTCGCACCTTCCAAATGCCACGCTGCATGTTGCAGTAGCGTGTGGTACCTGGGATGCACTAGAATTGAATTGTGGGTTGGTATGAGATCTGGTTCCTCCTTCACTTCAAAGAGTTCGACAAAAGTAAATCGACGGCAAGCCACTCACGGGGAAAGAAGACAGTGGAGGCGAGCAAGGTGATCAGAAGCCAGCTTCCAAAGATTGCCCAAACCGCGTGGCGAACATAGTTTGAAGGTGGATGTTCAAGTTTCATGCACAGAGCAGCGACAACCTAACTTTTTTGGACTTTGTGATGACTTGAACCGTCTGTCGTTGAACCACCTGAAACTCACAAAAACATGTTGAAGGACCATAACAGTCATTTAAGAAGTGCGTACAAATAGACCCAAGAAAAATACCCAACAGCTGCACATGAATTTGCTAACTTAGTAATGGCAACATTTGACATCTGCTGATAAGTTTGCGAAATGTTAACAAGTGGCGTGTGACACTACTGCTTTAAAACATGACCCAATTTTCGCATCTCAACGCAACAACGTGTTAGCATGCTAGCGTGCCTGCGCCAGTATGACAATACGTCAGCGTGATAACCTAACTACGTGCCAGCGCAACACCGCGCCGGCATATCAGCGCAACAATGAAAATCAATCGCGACAACGCGTCTAATTATGGAGGGTATGCGCAGTCCGGGTCGCGGTTCACAGCGGCCACTCAGCCACTCAGCCACTCAAGATCCTGAGCAGCCACTCAGCCGCTCAAGATGACTCAAGATCCTGAGTGGCTGACAGGGAGAAAAGTCTGAGGTGATGAGTGGCTGAGTGGCTGACAAGAAGAAAAGCCTCAGTGGCTGAGTGGTTGAGTGGCTGGTGTGGAGTAGCCGTCGTCTTTGTAGTCGTAACGGTAGTAGTACTAGCCGCCCTCGGCGCCGTCATCATCGTCATCAGCCTGAGTGGATTAGTGGCTGAGTGGCTGGCTGTGACGTAGTGGTCGCCGTCAGCGACGAGGACCGGTCTGAGTGTTGATTTTGGGCTTTCAAGGCTTTGATCGTTCCCGTGGCGCGCTTGTTGCAAGCACACCCTGCGGGCTTGATCAATTCAATTGGCTCGTTTTCGCGGTCAGGGGATCATTTCTTGAAGGTGGCAGTAGTTGTAGAAGTAGAAGTAGAAGTAGAAGTAGTAGTAGTAGTAGTACCAGCGCAGCACCACTTCTACTACAACGACTAGTCCACACCAGCCGCTCAACCACTCATAGCCACTCAGGCTTTTCTTCCTGTCAGCCACTCAGCCACTCAGACTTTTGTTCCTGTCAACCACTCACTCAGCAACTCAGCCACTCATGCTTTTCTTCCTGAGAGCCACTCAGCCACTCAGGATCTTGAGTGGCTGAGTGGCTGACAGGAAGAAAATCCGCATTTCCACGGACAATCTGACGATACATGTCTGTGCGTCAGCATTCTACATGCACAACACACCAGCATGGCACCACGTCGTCGGCTTGTCGGAGTGGCAACAGTCAGAGCCAGCGGCATGGCGGCAGGTTAGCGCGGTGGTCCGAAGGCGCGTCAACATGCCAGCAAGCCCGACAAAAGGCCGGCGTCGTGATGTGTGAGCGCTATACGCCGGCATATATCTGCAAGGCGCTCCAGACCTTGTGACAAGCAACCTGCTCTGGAACCTGCTCCGGAACCTGCACCAGAACCTGCTCCGGAGCTTGCTCCGAGCTGCTCCAAAGTCTATACTATATGGCTGAAGACCCCTAAAGCTTCGCTGTTGGTGAAAAATATCAAACAAATGACCCAAATCCATGCGCTTGACCAAAAAAAGGTATATTGCTGCTCGGCGGCAGTGATACCCGCGCAGGATAGCGCATCCACCCATCGTATGATTGTCTGGTGAGGCACCTGTTGAAAATCCAAAGGCGCCTGAAACATCGGTGTCTCCGCGATTTCCAGGCCTCGAGGAAGCTGTGCCAAGGGAGAGCTGGAGTGAAGGGAAGCACAGCCACAGCAAAGCCCAGCAGAGTGATGAGGAGAACCAGGCAATAGCCTCAACATAATAGAAACACTTGCAACACCCTGCAAAAAGAAACCACTGCAATCTGGGATTTGGGGAAACGGTTGGTTCCCAAACAAGCCCTCAATGAGCCAATTTGGTCTGGTTGGAAACATGCTTTGCAGTATGAGGGTAAATTTTCCTGGCTTTGCGATGTTGGGCTCGCCATCACCCATGTTCGGTCGCTGAGGGGGGGAGGCCGAGATACGTAGGCTGCGTCTGGGTGCCTCTGCTGTTCGGCTGTAACGGCTATGTAATGCGCCTGAAGTGGCACAACATGATACAACATGTGTTTGGCACAAGAAAAGAAAAGAATGCAACGAATGTCCTGAAGAAAGAAGAAAATTGAAGAAAAACGTTCAAAACGGTTAGGCCGTGAGGTATGCTTAAGTAGGTAGATTGCAGAAGCCTTGGTGGGAAACTTAGCTTTCCCTCACTTTCCTGTCTGCTAGCTTCCATTCTGCCTGGAAGAAGGCCTAGGAGCGTTCCATAGAGCGCCAAGCTTCCTGAGGGTCAATCAAAAACAAATCAAAGTCGCTCATGTCCCTTGGATAAAGTGAATCAATGTATGCTTGTAATCACGCGTTGCACTAAGAGCTTGGCCAGCTTTGGCACATTCCCCTGATGACACTCTGTCAAGACATAATCCAGTGCCAAGGCGCTCGTCCTGTCGAGCCATTTCACAGCCTGGGCAAGATCCCTGAAACACTAGGAGAAGTAAAAGTGCCCATAATTCTGGGAATGGGAATGGGGAGCTGAGCGGCTTTGAAAGAGCACTAGAAGAGATACAACAAAGTCACCAGCTGCAAGAAACCAAAGGCTCTCAGACTCTCCAAGACTACAGCTTCCTTGGCATCCAACCCAGGAGGCAGTGACCAGACAGGCCAGGGTGGTGAAGAGCAGCAGCAAACCAAGGAATGAACCCCGGGTCTTGGGAAGAAGAGCCTCCAGATAGATCGATGATGGACCGATCGATCGTTCGATCTTGGTACATACATACCTTTTATGTTTTGATACTTACCTTCTACATCCTGTGACATCTTTCACCCCATAAACTTTTTGGAAGCGTCACATCTGTCCTCCCCTGGTTCAGAACTTACTAGTAGTGACCACTTATATGGCTTGATCGGTCCACAAAGGCTGTTGTCTGATTTCCAGACTGGTTTCCATCTAGTTTCTAGCTCGGTTCTCATGTCTTTTCATCCCTTCTGATGCCTTCTGGTCAGTCATGTTCACAGAGTCGCATGGCGTGCACACACTTTGCGCTTGAAGCGCTGGGGCGTTGCCCAATCGGTGCACAGCTGGCGCAGCTGAAAGCGAGCGCAGATTGAAGCAATGTAATGCACAACACTCTAAACGTGAAAAAATGTGCAAACTGCCACGGCTCTGAGATGCCCTGAAGTTTGACAAATTGTAAATTGCTAGCAGCTACAGCTAGCAGATTCAAGCAAACCAAGGCGTCATTTTCGACTCAGTATTTCGAGTCCAGTTTGCGGCTTACAGGAATCTGCGAATCCCTGCACCAAACTATTGAGGTTTGGGACTCCAAGATCCGAATGCAAAACGAAAGCTTCCGCAAATGCTCCACAGTTGCAAGCTGAACTATGCCACTTATATATGCAGATTCGGATCCGAGAATGGAAGTTCTAGTAGGGACCTGAATTTAGCTTGCCAGTGCGCTCCCCCTCAAAGCCCATTCTCTGTTGCATCTTTGTCTTTTTCTTTGTTCCTCAGCTGCGCGGGCGTAGTGATCTTGCCACTCCTAGGGACCATGTGTCACGTGAATGGCTTGGACCTCCATCAAATAAAAATACGTCAGGTCGCCTCTGTTTTTGAGGTTTTCCTTGCGCTGTGCTTGCTGTTCTTCGACCTGTGTGCATCAAATGATTTGTGGAAATCACGTGCCAACCTCTTGTACCTACATTGTTTCTTTGGTGGCAACGAATCACCTATATTCGTGGTTGGTCTTCTTCCGCAGCTAGTTCGGCTGCAGCACTCTCCAAAAGTGGCACAACCGAAATAACATCCACAGGCCGTACTGAATATCACTGAACCATCCTTCCAAGCACAGCAAAACATCTGTATATGAGCATCATATCACAAAATATCATGTATCACCAGCGCAGCGTGACGGAGCTTTGCACCTTTTGCTTATCGCTTTCGATCTTTGCCTCCCATCTCTCCTGAGGGATTTCAGAAAAGTGATCTGTTTTTACTCCTTCTTGTCCAAGGTGCACATGTCTCTCCTGGCCCTTCTTCTTCTTCATCTCCATGGTCTTTTGTACTTTTCGGAGTTTGCTCACATCATCATGCACCTCGCAACGGCTGTGAAAAAGGCGCTGAAAAGGGCAAAAAAGGCAGAAGAGGAGAGCCAAAAGTTAAAAGATGTTAAAAGTGCCATTCGAAACCCAGCCTTCTCGCCACGCGCTCGCTGCAAGGCCTTCTGGTACGCAAACTCCTGACGTGTTCGGCTTCAGAACGACAACACCTTTTGGGGCCGGAGGGGGTAGGCCGTAGGGTGGGCCGTAGGCGTAAGGAGCTATATAGTAGGTTGACGAGTAGGTAAGCTTCCTTGAAGAAGTTTGAGCCTCAGTGATGAAGAAACTGTGCTCTTTTCCGCCTTCCGCACATCTTCGCCTCTTCCCTGAGACTCTGCCTCTTTGAGCTTCAATGCCTGTGCCTGTGCTGCACCAGGTGTGCAAGCATTTTGCATCAAAAAAACTGTTGCTGCCAAACCCAATCAGGCTGCTGCCTCCTGTTTTCGGAGATCGGCTTGAAGCTTTCTCACCTGGTGCGATACTCAGCAACGATGAATCTCCAAACCAAATCAGTCCAGTTCCGTTCCCAATCATCCCGCCCACTTCCACGCTCTAAATCCTTGTTTGCCTGCTGAGCTGTCTCTGTCTCTATGAACCAGTTGCAAAATGTTGCTTTAGAACCACAACGGCCTTCTGGCCACGCTGGCCGACTCCTGCTTCAAAGGGTAGCTGTCCAGATGCCTGCACCAAGCTACGGAGCAAGCTGGCAATTGTCGGCCTATCTCTGTATACGAGTTGCCTTCAGAATCATGTTTGGAAAGCCTGCGTTGGAGACCCTTCATCATTTGACAGGGCACGCCGATATGGATACTAATACTTCGGACACTTTGTTCTCTTCATGTTGAGTCAACTACGAGTGAGTAAGAAACAAAGAGTTCTTACGTATCTATGATGGGATCACGGCCCACCTATTGTACGGCCAATCTGCAATTTTACATACTGGTGTATCCAGTGAGCAGCTATCAAAATGCTGGAGCGCTGGGCCAAACTACGGAGCCTGTGTTCTAAGCTCAGGTCTATGGATCTGAGGTGCATGTTCACATAGCACTTCGTCGCACCGGAAAACAACTTGTCCAATTGTGCAATGTGTCTATTTGGAAGTTTTTCAAACTGTTACTTTGAGCATGCTACCCGCACCGGTGCAGCTCGGGCACAAGTGCCTTTTTGGCTTCTGGGAGGGCATTGCCATGGTGCGGTGGCGATGGCTCCTCCTGAGCCTTGGGTGGATGGGCTCAAGCCGCGGCTGGTGGCAGATGCCTGATGCAGAGGACCCTCCAAGTCAGAACCACACGACTTGTTGGGATGAACCTCTGCATTGCCTCCAGCTTCGAGCGAATGTGACCTATGCCACCATCCAGGCCCAGTATGCCGCTTTCACCACGTGGGATAGCGTGCTCTGGACAGTTTTGGACACGCTTTTGAGCGGGGCTGGATGGATGGTTTTCGGGCAGAGCTGGACCAGTGTTCGAACAGGATGTTCAGTTATCCTACGGGTAGCAACACTCATGGCCATCTGCCTGATCCTCCACTACTTCCTGTCCCTTGCATGGCCTCTTTGCTCCCTCCTCATCGGGACGATCCTCACGGTGATCTGGATCGTTCGAGCATGCGTGAGGTGCTGCGGCCGAGCGGCTTTCCAGATCCAGAGGCTCGCAGGAGGCGTGCCCGAGATGACTGGCGCCGACTTCATTGGGCCCGCTACTGGTGAGGTTCCCGAGACAGCGGAGCTCCGGAAGCTGAAGAAGGGCTCAGAGGATCGGTGGGCGCTCCTACGTCGGGATGGACAAGTGGTCATCATCAAGGTGACAGAGAATGCGGCCATCAAGTCCAGCGGCATGTACCTGAGCTTCGATCCCGAGTCAGTTCGCGGTGATGCTCCTTTACTTCTGGCCCTCACAGGCTATGAAAGAGTGCACCTTTGTAGGCATGATACATGCCCTGAGGAGGGACAGCACTTCAAGAGCTATGCATTGGCTCGCCAACTCAGCCCTGAAAAGTTCCATCTGATGTCCACGGCCGAAGGAGCTCAGAAGACAGGGGCCAGGGCGATGGGTTGGTTCTTCTCGAAAGCGGGCAAGGCGGCCAAGAAGTTCAAGGACTATGCCTCCGAGTCTAAAAGGAAGAAGAGGATAAGTGCTGTGCCCACTTGGTTCTCGGACGGGGATGTTGAGTGAGAGCCCATGTCAGGAGCCAGCCAGCAATGAGGTCGAGTACCTGGAGGAGGATCGGTCTGGGCTGAGCGGCGACCAGGACGCGAAGCTCTGCCCCAAGCACGCCGTCGGCTACCTCACCTCCCGAGCATCGTTGCGGTGCTCCTACGGGGGTTGCAACCGTGTGGGAAACCTCTCCAAGCAAGGGTTGCGAGTTTGCGGAGCTCATGAGGAGGCATGCAACCCGACACCATCGAGACGCTCCTCTCGTTCGAGGTCGAGGGCAAGGGATCTAGATCGACCAGAAGGAGACGGAGAAGATCGCCTACGACGCCGTGGTCGAGTACGGGAGGTTTCCTATGACACGGGGGAGGCGGAGACCATCCTACCGGAAGTCAGGGACGAGAAGGAAGAGATGCTGCCCGCTTCACGGAGGAAAAGAGTGGCGTCCCCGGGCCACGCCCCAAAGTCGTCAGTGCAGCACAGCCTCGCGAGGATGGGCATGATCAACTCACCAGACCGGAGAGGAGAGATGACCTACCTGGAGGAGTTCATGGAGCAGCTGGCTGATGGGAAGGAGCTGCAGTTGAACGAGGAGGACATCCGGAAGCAAATGGCAGCTCAATCAGGCCTGACAGTGGGAGACCTCACCAAGTTCCTCTACGAGCAAGCTACCGAAGAACAACGGAAGGGCACCAAAGGCCTGACCAAGTTCCTGGCGAAGTGGAGGAAGCAAGCAGCAGCTCAGGAAGGGGCCAAGGAACGAGAGAGTTCGGCACCTACACCTACCAGTGCGGCTTCTGGAGGACGAGTCACCCAAAGCCCGGGTTCGGTCGCTGTGGAGACCCCGCCCAAGAAGAGACTGGCTGTGGTTCCACCGCCGGGCATCTACGACCCAGATCGCAAGGCAGGTACTGGTCTGGAGGGCAGAGGTGCCAACTCGGAGATGACAGACATTGCGAAGGCCAACTTCAGAAGAATTGGTGTCCCTCTGAGAGCTTGCGGGCAGTACACCGTGCAGGTGGGAGACGGTGAGTATGGCGCTGCCTTGGCCCAGGCCTTACTGGCTGATCAACGAAGTTGAGAACAGCTGGATTCCGCCAAAAAGTCACTTCCCGTTTGGCCATTGGCATCGCAGGGCCCTACTGGGGTACACAGGAAAATGTATGCCCTCAGTGCCTCGGACTTCATCCCGCGGCACCTACTCGGTATGAGGACTGGCTGAACCGAGCAAAAAGACAGAATGATGTCTGGGCCCTCGTGTACGGCATGGAATGGAAGGGGTGAGGGATCACGCCATCAACCTCCTGGGCGAGTGGCATATTAGTGCACCTCACAAGAGGTGCTCCTCGATGTGTGGGAAGAACTTCACTGGCGCTTCTTGGAAGAGCTCAAGGAGGAGCTGAGGAAGATCAAGAGGCAAGCTGGGAGGGAATCCATGACCTTGCAGGACCTGAAGTTCTACGCCCTCATGCCTGACAAGGACGGCACAAGCCGCCCTTGGAACTTCCACAGACTTTCGATCTCCGTCGACCAGAAGGGTGGTTTATGTCGGAGGTCATGCCCCGGATCGAGAGACGTCAGGAGAGAATGCTGTGGAAGATGACTTGGGAAGGTTCAGGAAAGAGCCGTGCACAAGGGCAACCTGCTGGAGGTGACGGAGGGCCAAAGGAGGACAAGGCCACCTTGAAGACGCTCTATGGCCCCAAGCTCACTGCGGAGGAGACGACCAGATCTAAGGATCGAGCGCCAACCAACAAGGAGGGCAAACTCCTGCGCTGGGGGTACCTGACGCACATGGGCTGCACCCAAACAGGGCGTCAACGGGCACATGAGGCTCTCAGAGGAGGACTTCGGAGGATGAAGGCGGAGACAAAGGAGTCGGCGGCTGAGAAGATGAAGGACATCCGGGCTGGGGTGGCGAAGGATAAGGCGGCGAAGGTGCAGGACGGGAAAGATCGCCGGAGGGCAGGGCAAGGCGAGAACTTGGGTTCCGGAGAGCCTGAGATCCATGAGAAAGCCGGAGGCCGTGTGAGTTGGAAGGCACCGGAGGAGATGGTTCAGGTCGACTATACCAGCCAGGAGAAAGACTTTGCCGAGCTAGTGTCGGGTCCGGACCACTCCATCTATGGTCACGTTCCCAGGGAAGCGAAAGCCCATGCAGGGCGTGATGGCACTTCGGCCCCCCTCGAGGCGCAGGAGTTGGTGAGGAAGGCACAAGCGTTGGCTGATGGACCTGTGCTTGGAAAGTTGCAAGAGGCCTCAGATGATCTGTATGCCTGGGCTTCCACGAGAGTCGCCAACGACCCCGAGAGGCTTCGAGGTTCTGATGGAAGAGATGGTACAGTATGGGCTGGGCGAACTGGCCGCAGAAGCAGCAGACCTCCTTGAAGCTCATGGTGGCGGACCCAAGGCGGGACATCAGGCTCGGTGTCGAGTGGGGAGAGACACGGTGGGATGATGATGGACCTGGGAAGGCACTGGCGCAGATCGACGACGCAGCTTGGGCTATGTGGGGCTTCGGCGAGATGGTGCACATGACAGAGGAGCTTGCTGGGCTCTTGGGTCTCATCGAGCCGGAGAAGGAGAAGCGGCAGTGCGTGACTAAGGTCTTTGCAGCTGGTTTGCGGAAGGGAGAGTTCCAACGATGGATGAGGTGGAGAAGTTGGCGCAGGACTTCAGGCTGGAGCAAGCCAGGCTGGCGGTGGAGGCCGAAGGGGTGATGGGCCACGCTGAGACGAGGGTGCACCCGTCGAACATGAAATCAGGATGTATGCCCATGACATCCTCAAGCCACACCACGATAAAGACTACCGAGCCCTGGCGGTGTTAGCAGCTCTGGAGGAAATGCGCATCGTCATCGTGCGGGTGGACTACAAGGGCGACGTGCTGCTGGAGACGGTGACTGGAAGCCAATGGACGCAGCGGGACATGTGGGCGATGATTTCAAAGGGCCACATGACGCTGCTACAGCCCCCTCCAGAGGACGTCGCCCGCCAGTTGCCGACCAACGAGGATGTGTACAACACACCTTGCCTGGGGTTTCGGTACTTTTGGCATCAACGGCATGATCAGGCCAAGACTGCGCCAGGGCTCGTGTGTTGCAGGCACTGCAAACCCAGGAAAGGAGGATGGCAAGAGGAGCAACCGGCGTCGGGCTGCTTGAGGAAGACCACCTGCTTGCCCGCCTTGTCCCGGGTCTTAGCGGGAGGCGGTCAGATGACCAGGGCAGTGCATGAGGCAAAGGGGCATTCTGGCTTGGTCCTCCAGGAGTACTTCGCTGGACATGGGGTCATCACACACGGGCGGCGGGCAGCGAGCCAGACTGCGCTGGAGCCGATCGAGTTGTATGAGAAGCCTCATCAACAGCTTGGTCCCCGTTCAGAACATGATCTTGCAGATCCAGTACGGCAAGGGTACTATATGGATTGCTACTTGGGTGACCGGCCTTGTTAGTAAATGGATAGGCCACTTGGCCTACTTAGCTAGCTACGCTAACTCAAGTTATAAGTCTGCTAACCTCAGTTATAA